AATGTTAAACTTGAAGTGAGTGGCAACATGGGACATATGAGGGAAGTCAGCATGGTATTTGCTACTAGCAAATGTAGTTGTATATTTACCTTCGCACTAGAGCTGCTACGTGACGGTCTGGGAAAAATCTCTGAGGATGATCCAAAGACACGCTATCATAAATTTGATCCTCTGTAGAGGGGATAATTGTTCCCTTTGGTAGCCCAACAGCCTGTGAGCGAATCGAGCATGCTAGCAAATGTACATTGTCTATTCAGTTGAAAATGTTACCAGATGAAACTTTATAAAAATGTGTCATTTGGAGTGAATTTATTATAAATTCTTGGGTTGCCTGGCTCTGCCATGGCCATCTCGTCTGCAACTTCATTACCGAAAATTCCGGAGTGGAAATAGACCCAACGTTTAAACTACTGATTGGCATGATGTTGGGAGTGTTTCCATTCTGTAATGTTATGAATGATATCATGTGAATTATTGCTTGCGAATAACTGAAGCTGATCCGGGTGCGTTAAGGAATGAGAGTAATTCAGATAAAAATGCTTGTTGCTCACATTAATGACATAGTCGAATCGCCAGTAAGATTTCAATATTCCTTCCGTGAAGACGGAATACATGGGGGGAATGGAATTAGGCAGAACAAAACAAGAGTAGGCATTATGAATCGCCGTTTCCGTTCTATATCATACCCAATGATATCAGACTAAGTCTTTGAATGTGGGGGTAGTAAAGATTTGTGGAAGTTCTTTTATTTTTTTATCCTGAAAGGTGGAAGTTAGGGAGATGTATTCGGACTTTTGAAGGTAGTTGAGGGATTCTCCGGTACGTAAAGGCCTGGTTTCTTAGGACAGGACGCACGCTTGTCCTAAGAAACCAGACCTTAAGATTTATACGATCGATGTTGATCCTGTGGAAAATCCACTAGTATCTAGCATGTAGAGATTTGATTTTGATTTTGTTCATTTACGTCGCACTAGAGCTGCACAATGGAATATTGGCGACGGTCTGGAAAACATCCCTGAAGATGATCCGAAGGCATGCCATCACAATTTTGTTCCTCCGAAGAGGGGATGGCAGCCCCGCTTCGGTAGTCCGACGACCTGCACGCGAAGTTGAGCACTTTACGGTAGAACAGTTTGACGAGGACCAATACCGCACACCCTCGGTCCCTACGCAGACTGATCCAAGTGGTCACCCACCCGCACACTGACCGCAGCCAGTGATGCTTGACTTCGGTGATCTGCTGGGAGCCGTGTCTTAACGATCAGTCCCCTGCGGGACCTTGTAGAGAGAGAGAGAGAGAGAGAGAGAGAGAGATGATTTTCTATATGTAGGCGGAATTTGGAGGTTGTGCTAATTTAATGCACATAAAAATTGGTAGTGGACTAGTCGTACGTAAAATAGCTTCCGAAGCATATAACATCGTCTAATTTATTATAAGTATAAGTGGTAGTGGTGTCTGTTTCGGAAGGCCCGTGGCAATGCATGGTGCTGCATGGTATCAAATGTGTAATACCATACGCTCACTGTTGCTAGCAAGGGAATGAAGGTAACCAAAGTCGAGAGTATTAGTTATATAGGACTGAAGTAAAGTGGTAGGAGTGCGAGCCCCTGGAATTATTTACGAATGACCCAACACACTGAGCCAGGATTCGAACTCGCACTCTTGGGATGAATAGTTACGTGCTTCGTGTCATCGCGTGGGCCCATAGTCATTTGGATGCATAAAGGGTATCAAGCCTCAAAGGCTCAAAGTCTCAAAGTTTCAAAGGGTATCAAACCTATGTATTTGCGAAGCGCAGACAGTGGGAACCTATTATATCCCATTGTGAGACCCTTAATTCGCTTATAATTTTGTAGCTAGCTGTTGATACTTAAGAACGTTATAACATTATAACTGGCTAAGTTTTAAAATTATATGTTAAAAACATATGTTGTGATTCCTTTTTATATCAATGTATTTTAAATTATCTTTCTCATTATTCCCCTTTATATAAAGAAAGTATTAAATATTTGAACATTTTGAGAAATTTCCGAAGATTTCTTATCTGCATATACTTAAGGGTAATTTATTTTTACAATTTACGATATATATCTAAACACGAGGGTGTCTGCTGCAAAATTGAAGACAAGTTAGTTGGGACAAAAAGTCCTAATTGCAATTTCAATTCTTTGTCTTAAAATTAGAGCGTTGGAACTTGAAGGAATATTATGCATGATCTAATTATTTTCTAATTAATTTTCTAATTATCGAATTAATTTCGAGAAATTTCTGAAGATTTCTTGTGCTCTCTGCTTATACAAAAAGGCCTATATTTGGCCTATTTAATATTACCTTATAATTTTCAAGCTTTTCAACATTATTTTATTGCAATATACCTAAACAAAAGGCCAAGTGGCAATGCCTATATTCCTTTTATATTTATAGCATCGGAGCTCAGAAAGTACTACTCATAATTTAATTAAACATATTGACCTGTATCCTCACTTAATATTAACCTATAATTATGAAACTTGGTAAGATATATTGCTACAGGGTACCACACCAAGTCACAATATGATAAGCAAATTAGGTACCGCAAATGGGGCATTATTAGGTTCCATTGTGCACCCTTTGTAAATCAGCCGGAATGACTTAGAAGCTAAAATCCCGTTTACCAGCAAGATAAACCGCAGTCCCGTCGGCGACTTTACACATTGTCGACTCCCGGATTATTTACATTAAGAATATGGATGCTCTTGAAGTGAAAATAAAGTCATTAAGAACAACTTTTACGACCACGTCGAATAAGTTGGCGACACAGGAAACTGTTGCCAAGGTTATTAATCAGTTGCACGCACTAAGGTCTCAATTGCAAGATAAATTTTCTCGTTTGAATGAAATTCAAAATGAAATATCCTCAGTACTTTTAGAAAAACCTGAGACCTTTGCTGAATACGAAACTGATTTTGAAGCAGCGGAAAATTACAGAGATAATTATCTTGAACTAGACGCAAAAGTCGCAATTTTTTTAAATAAGGACTCCGGTTCCATCGCCAAAAGTTCTTTAGAGGATAATGCCGTGAAACTAAAACTACCGAAATTTGAATTGAAGACATTCTCTGGTGACCCTAAAGAATATCTCACATTCTGGAGTATATTTTCAAAATTCATGAATCCGAAGATTTATCTGCGATCGACAGGTTCCAATATTTATACCAATCTATGGTACCCGAATCCAGGGCAGCAAGATTCGTTTCCAGTTTCCCAATAACAGCAGAGAATTATCCGAAAGCCATTAAACAATTAAAATTAAGGTTTGGCCGAGAAGATCTTTTAGTACAAATATACATCCGAGATCTCCTTTCTCTTGTTATGAAAAATGCTACTGCCGGAAAGAATTCTCCTGATTTAGCAACCTTCTACGATATGCTGGAAACAAAATTAAGAGTTTTGGAAAGTTTGGGACGTACGAAAGAGAAATTTGCTGACTTTCTAGAGCCTCTTGTAGAGTCATGCTTACCTGAAAATGTTATGCGAGCCTGGGAACGGAGTAGAATTTCTGAAAATACTGATGACGTTGCCAGTCAGAGATCCCTCGAAAAACTAATGTGTTTTTTGAGACATGAGGTTGAATCTGAAGAAATGATCAGTTTAGCTCGTGAAGGGTTTGGTAGAGATAAGGAAAGTGACGAGAAACGAAAAGATTACCACAAATCGATTCAAACAGATGAACCTATTGCTACTACACTGATCGCCAACATATCAGTAGGAAAAAACAATTGTATTTTCTGTGACTGTTCACATCCAAGTCAAGACTGTCAGAAAATAGAAGAAATGAGTTATGAGGACAGAAAATCACGAGTTATACAAAAGAGATGCTGTTATGTTTGCCTCAAATCTGGTCACATGGCAAAAAGATGTCACAGTAATGTAAGATGCTTAGTTTGTAAACGGAGGCATTACACAATACTTTGCCCAGATCTACGTAAAGGAATTAATTCTTCATCTAAGGACAAAATAGCAGGTGATGAACAGAAATCAACAAAAATATTGTATACGAATCGTTCTTCTGAACGTGAAATATATCTCAAAACAATTACGATCAGACTACGAAATAGAGACAAGGAAGTCTGTGTTCGTGCACTAATGGATGATGGATCACAGCGTTCCTATATTGAAAAGAGTTTGGCTGAAGAACTAAGACTTTCTCCCTCTGGAAGCGAAGTGTTTTCTCAAGGACTGTTTGGCGGGAAAGCTTCTCCTGCTTCAGAGCATAAGAGATATATGGTAACTGTTGAAAGTTTAAATCGCAAATATACGACCTCAATATCTCTTCTTGATCAAGCAAAGATTTTCTCAGAGCTACCAAGGATACAGGATAGAAGTTTACTTGCTGATCTAGCTTCGCGAGGAATAAAAATAACAGATGTTGGAAAAGATACTCCTCTTATTAGAGTTCTTATAGGAGCTGATGTACTTGGAAGAATCCTGACTGGGAAAATAGAAGTGTTAACATCGGGAGTTTCAGCCATAGAAACCTTACTAGGTTGGACAATCTTAGGTCTAGGAAGAAAAAAGAAAAAGGTTAACTTAGTCGCATTAAGTTTGCAAAATATGGAGTTGCCAAAAGTAAAGGATTTAGACGTTTTAGGCATTGCAGATCCCATGGAAAGAAAAAATAAGATCCAACTAGAAGAGAAGCAAGAACAATTCGATGTAGACGTCGAATTGTACCCGTGAAACGAAAGAACTTGTGAATTATTCGTAACTTTTGATTTCTTGAAATGTTACAGCATTAGGTTTTTTGTATTGCTTCAGAGCAATACAAAGGTGGGAGTATGTTGCCACTCACTTCAAGTTTAACGTTTCCGTCATGTTTTCTCCTAGTTAATTTTGTATTTGAGTTTGTGAATCTGGCAATTATATTTTATGTTCTTTTTATGTTTATAATATTAAGGTAAAGAACTTACGATACGTTGTGTTTAAGAGAACTCTATTCGCGATCGCAACACNGGGAGTGACCGGTTTCTCACCTTTAGCCCTTCTCCCTTCCCTCTCCTCCTCTCTTCAGTTATATAGGAATGTACTACGATATTTTCCTTTTTCCTAATATTTTTCCTTTTTACTTAATATTATAAACATAAAAAGAACATAAAATATAATTGCCAGATTCACAAACTCAAATACAAAATTAACTAGGAGAAAACATGACGGAAGTGTTAAACTTGAAGTGAGTGGCAACATGGGACACAGATGGCAATATTCCTTCCGGGAAGACGGAATACATGGGGGGGGGATGGAATTAGGCAGAACAAAACAAGAGTAGGCATTATGAATCGCCGTTTCCGTTCTATATCAAATATCCATAGATATAAAGGCAGAAAGATCAATCACTCGACCAAACGGACGTCACGGTGAACGTTGACATCACTGGTCTAGTAACTAGTTTGTACTCTATATCCACGTCCTCTAGTGAACTGCGGTGCTTGTTTAT